CATACTTTCCTTTACTTTCAAAGGATTAAATCTGATATGCTAGCATGGTATCTACCGTATAGAGAACATTCAATGTGAATGTTCTTTATTATTATCTTCACTGTGTGTGGCCCACTTTCAGTTTTCTAAGATTTACTAGTATAGTTCATACCTTCTAGGAATATATACATGGTCTCTGATCATATTCATTACCAAACTGAAGACTCATAATTCATTTGTAATTCCCACATTCTTAATTCCCAGCTCAGCTACTTTTTTCTGAATTTTTCAGAATTCAGTTGATTTTAGCAGGCATCATTTGAGCTACTATAGGGTGGGAGGCATTACAGTAGGTCTTGAGATTAGGAATGTAAACAGGATCCCTGTCCTCATGAAGCTTATAGTCTAGTGTCAACGGTAGTAAAGAGACAAAAAAATTGCAATTAGACCTCATAAATTCTGATAATGGCAGGACTGTGCCCCTATGAGAACACATAAGTGAAGCATTAAATCAGATTAGGGAGAATGGGAGATTAGGAGACCTTCCTGTTCTTATAGGCTTTTCTCTAGAGTTGGCAATAGGTCTGTACCTGCATTCCAGGTGTAGGTCGACCAACCAGTCTTACATTCCTCTCAGCATGACTAAACTTTATTTATTTTTTAAGATTTTATTTATTTACTTGACAGAGAGACAGCAAGAGAGGGAACACAAGCAGGGAGAGCAGGAGAGAGAGAAGCAGGCTTCCCGCTGAGCAGGGAGCCCCATGAAGAGCTCAATCCCAGGGTCCTGGGATCATAACTTGAACCTAAGGCAGACGCTTCAGGACTGAGCCACCCAGGCACTGCGTGACTAAGCTTTAGACAGTTTCTTCCTGACTACATCCTCCTAACCTCTCCTTACTTAAAGCTTTTGCTTTAAAAAAAAACTTGCAACTGTAAAATTCTCTGTCCTGTTGAGATGTAAATCTTTTCCAACTTCTTGATAGTTTTACAACCAAGACCTTGGTTGTAATGACCAATGACCATGGCTCTCAATGACCTTAGAGCCATGTGTTTGAAACATAGTCAAGAAAGATAGCACCCCCATTCTCTGTGGGTAAAAGTCTTCTTCAAGAAGTGCCAGTTAGAAACCACTGGTGACATAATTGCCTCTGATCAATCTCCCCACTTGGAGTCCTCCAGTTACTATTCCACTAATTCACCCCAGCACTGAAAAACTTTCCAGCCTTCTTTTTTTTTTTTTTTTTTTTTTAGCAGAGTTGAGTCCAATCTCTCCCCTATTGCAGTAGTCTTGAATAAATTTTCCCTTGCCTATTTAATTCTGCCGTTTGATAGGATGTGTCTAAGTTTTGTACAAGCAGGAAAAGCTGATATTTACTTAGTATTCTACTTATTGATGTCTAACACTTAGTCAATCTTTGTAATTGCTGATTAAAATAAGCCCATCATGTCAATCAGTATCCAGAGGGCTCCAAACTCTCACCAGCAATAAATGAAGCCCCAGAGTTCACTACCTCTAACTGTACTAGAATTTTTTCCCCAGAAATATATTTCTTTACACCTATGCACAAAATGCCCCTTTGCTTCAAAGAGACTGTGAGTAAGCTAAAATATTCACTCTTCCTTGTAGCTGTATACTCATTCTTTTGGTATTTCAGTGATTTCAAAGGATCAGAATCATGAGCAAACTTGGGAGCAATTCATCATTCACCATCACTAAATTACTCAGCAAGGACTCTACCTGCTGTACTCTCCATGAAACTCACTACAGGATCAACTGAGGCACTGACCTCTCATACACTGAGACAGAATTTCAGATAATTGATGGTTTTAGCCAAAGTTCTGAATTTTAAAATGGATGGAAATTTCTAAATCAATCACAGTAAATTATAAATTATCTTCAACAAAGACTATGTAATAAAAATTTCTAACAATTGCTGTAGAATTTAAGCTTAAATTTAAATTTAATTTTAAAGTAAATAAAAATATTTACTGCATTTTGATAATATTTTATCATTATAAAAACCAAAAATTTTTTCCTAATGTGCATACTTGCTATAACAGCTTTTTCTATTTCCAAAAAAAGTGTTACTAATTTAAGGGCGTATTATTTAACATATGGTACCTCAGAATTAAAGAATATGGGAGAACGATTCTGATTACCTCCTCATGCTATGTGAAAATTCATTACTCCAAACTTTCTTAGACAGTTTTTGTTTTTTTTTAAAGATTTATTTATTTATTTGAAAGAGAGAGAGAGAGAGAGTGAGCAGGGGGAAGTGGCAGAGGAAGTGGGAGAGATAGTCCCAAGTGGACACTGCCCAACACAGGGCTCAATCTCATGACTGAGACACGACCTAAGCTGAAACCAAGAGTCAGTTGCTTAACTGAGTGAGCCAGCCCCTCACTGGACAGTTTTTTTTAAAAGATGCCAGTAATGTAACTCACACGAACACCCATATGTATATCCTTTTCAAATACATGGGACTTCTACTACTTTAATGAGTTGAGTATGATATCTTATAATCATACCTTTGCTTTTATAATTTATTATGGATGCAGTGTCTTTGGTGGGAAACATATCCCATGAATTATAATAGTAACATTAGTGGAAAATGCAATATTATTTTAATACATAATGGCAGGAAACTAGGACAGATTTTCAGCAAAAGAAGAGAGTTGCATGTATTTGGCCATTATTAACGGGCCTATTTCTCCCTGGTAATTGCCTAGTCATTATGTACGCATTACAGTGCATTGCTCTTAAGGAAACCCAGCATTCTTCACTCTGTAACCTATTCTTTCCACAAAGTACTTGGTGAACATAGCCATTAGCTCGATGTGAAGTGGCTGTATAGATCAAAATTTCTTCACAAGCTCACTTAACCAAGGTACCAAATAACTTACCCAGAATCCAAAACAAATCAGTTGAATAGCTAAGTGTACAAAAAATCCTGTAACACCCCTAGATTCCAGTGAAGTGCAGTTTTTATTAATTTTGTTAATTTTATACCACTTAGCAAGCTCAGGTTGTGTCTTTTTTTTTTTTTTTTTTTTTTTTTTAAATTTGAGATAGGAAGAGTCAGCGTCAGCTGGAGGGAGAGGGAGAATCTCAAGCAGACTCTATGCTGAGTGCAAAGCCCAACATAGGGCTGGATCCCACAACTGGGAGATCATGACCTGAGCTAAAACCAAGAGTTGGCCATTTAACCACTGAGAGACCCAGGTACCTCCAGATTGGGTATGAAAACATTTTATTAATAATTTTATGAAAATATTTAACAACAATTTAGTATTAGAATTTTAGAAAAGAAAATAGGCCAATAAAAGTGCTTCTCCTGGTTTAAACTGTAGAAATGAAAATTCTGAAGTAAATCGGACAAAATATGTTTCTGTTTAGTAAGTTAAAGAAATTAAATTTAGATGTTCCCTCCTTCTTTTATCAAATTTTATAAATCCATTCAGATTAATCTGGAAAACTTCATCAGGAGGTTTAATAATATTTGAAGGTAGAATTTTTTTTTTAATTGGCTGATTTTTTAAAAAGTGACTAGGGCAAGATTATATAAATCAAATTGGTGCAAACAACATCTTAGCTAGTCCACGTCAGTCACTTTCCTAAATTTCAAGGTGATTAATTACTCAACTTATCTTATGACTTTAATTTTAGAAAGCCTCAAATTAGCAGCAAGTTTTATCTGAGTCAAAGCAGTAGGGGTTCTACAGAAAGATTTGTTAGATTAATTTTTCCTCAATTGAAATGTAGATGATTAAGATACATATTAATTTACTATAAGGAAGTCACATATTTTTCAGTGACTAAAGTCTTCCCTTCTACGTTCCTGATGGCCCATTTGGGTGAAAAACTTAACAATACTGGTTCAGCTCTTCTTTTTTTTTTCCTGATTCAAAACATCAGTACAAGTGATGATGAGCTGCATGACTAACTGAACAGGAAGCTCCTCAATCATTTTTTTTAACTCACTAGCAATCTTATATCAAGTAGTAGCTCACAAAGTAAGTGCTGAATGAATGAGTGGACAGATCCCATTCATACATTGTCATAATAACTAAATACTTCTTTAGAAATCTGAGGTTTAGGGGCGCCTGGGTGGCTCAGTGGGTTAGGCCTCTGCCTTCAGCTCAGATCGTGATCTCAGGGTCCTGGGATTGAGCCCCACATCGGGCTCTCTGCTCAGCGGGGAGCCTGCTTCCCCCCCCCACGCTCTCTCCTCAGTAGATGGTCAAAAAGGTTAGTTTACCAGTGGTTTCAGAAAACACACTAAATGGGTTAGAAGAACCAAGATATTTATGGTATATATTTAATTGGTTTGGGAACTGAGTGAACAGGTATTAGTTCTAAAGACAAGCTGGTGCCGGTTTCAGTGATGAGGCCTAAACTGCACAGGTTTCAAACTCAGCCCCACACCTTGTTAATTTTGGCTCACTTAATAATGCTTCTGATGCTGCCACACAGTCCCTTATTTTGAGATAATAGGTGATTTAACTATGTATATGTGGTTTTTTTTAATGTTACATAGAAAGCTAGATTCAACATTTTGTATGTGGTATGAGAAATATGATACTCATGGTATATTGCTATTTATGATAAACCCAGATTTATATAAGTTTACCTCAACTGAAAAAAAAATATCCTCTTTAATGTAATCACTGACTATCTTTTCCTCCTTAATTATATGGCCCTATATCCAGGGTACTTATTTGTGCAAGATGCCAAAGTTATCACCACTGGAATGGTGCCGTCAGAGAGACAGATTTTCCAAGTGAAGTCAAGTGGCCCTCATGGTTTTAGCATTATCAAAAAATTAGCAGTTTTAGTACATTCGTTGCAATACAAAGCCATGGATTTCATTAGCTATTCAGGAAACCGTCAAAACACCACATGGCCAGTAGGCTGGTCAGCTTTTGTAAACTACAGTAAAGTAGTTTTCATAAAATAATCTAAGGGGCACTCGATCTAAATCCAAACAGAATGGGATTAAATATATAAATCCTTGCAGGAAGCTTGGTCGTGGAAAAAATCTGTCACTTAGGATGGCAATTCAGCTTAACAGGTGAGGTAATGAGACTGATGGAATACACCCTTTCCAAGGAAGAAGTTATAACAATTTCTATTGATGGTGACAGTATTTCCATAGGCCTCTATTTCCAGGAGGTTATATACACTGTCACAGAAGAACACTGAAAACACATTGAGCCTCGTATAGGGCTCTCTGCTCGGCGGGGAGCCTGCTTCCCCCTCTCTCTGTCTGCCTCTCTGCTTACTTGTGATCTCTGTCTGTCAAATAAATAAATGGAATCTTTAAAAAAAAAAAAAGAATCAGAAAAACATATCAAATCTCTCTTGACAAAAAGAATGAAGCTTTTAGATTAAGAATAACCATTATTATCATTACAGAACTATATTATTATTATTTTATTATAAAATAAATTATTATATTTAGGGATGACAGACTGGCATCACATCAGCATTACATCACTAAAACATAATCAGTACACAAAATGTACTAAGCCTAAACTAAGGATTCTCACTTTTGATCTTAAGGTTATGACAGTTTATCACAATTTTTGAGTAAAACTCATTTTCAAACTTATTGTATCTTACTATATCAGAACTATTTCAAAAAGGATCTTGGGGGGGTGCCTGGGTGGCTCAGTTTTTGAGTGTCCGTCTTTGGCTCAGGTCATGATCCCAGGGTTCTGTGATCAAGCCCCACACCTGGCTCCCAGCTCAACGGGAAGTTTGCCTCTCCCTCTCCTACTCCCCCTGCTTGTGTTCCCTCTCTCACAATATCTCTCTCTGTCAAATAAATAAATAAATCTAAAAATTAAAAAAAAAAAAGGACCTTAGTCAGTCATCTCCGTAAAAAAAAAAAAAAAAAAAAAATCCAAGCCATCCCTTTTCTCTGAAATCTTTGGAGGTTGCTATGACAATGGCATTTCTAGCTTAGCTCACAATTCATGTTCTTTAGTTCTTATCCAAAGTAACCTGGTTCTGCTTGCGAGGTACCATCTTCTAAGATTCCAAAAGATAGCCCCAAAAGTTTCCTCCAGAGACTGGGACTGGGAAACAATAGAATTATTAAATGCTGAACTTTAAAAAAATCATTTGTACATATAAACTACCAAAACTGCAGTGAGAAGAAATAGAAGACCTGAACAGACCTATAATCAGTAAAGAAACTGAATCAGTAATCAAAAATCTCCCAATAAACAAGAATCCAGGGCCGGATGACTACTCAGGGGAATTCTACCAAACATTTAAAGAATTAATACCTATTCTTCTGAAACTGTTGCAAAAGATAGAAATGGGAGGAAAACTTCCACATTCTATGAGGCCAGCATTACCTTGTCCCAAAACCAGACAAAGACCCCACTAAAAAGAAGAATTATAGAGCAATATATCCCTAATGAAAATGCATGCAAAAATTCTCACCAATGTATTAGCTGATAGGCTCCAACTATACCTTAAAAGAATTATTCACCATGACCAAGTGGGATTTATTCCTGGGTTGCAGGGGTGATTCAACATCTGCAAATCAATTTACATGATGCACCACATTAAGAAAGAATAAGAACAATGGTTCTCTCAATAGATGCAGAAAAAGCGTTTGACAAAATACAGGATCCTTTCTTGATAAAAAAAACAAACAAACAAGCAAACAAACTCCCCACAATATAGGGATAGAGGGAACATACCTCAATATCATAAAAGTCATTTATGAAAGACCCAAAGCAAATATCAGCTCTCAGCTGAGAGCTTTTCCCCTTAGGTCAAGAACATGACAGGGATGTCCATTCTCACCACTGTGTTCAATATAGTACTTAAGTCCTAGCCTCAGCAATCAGACAACAAAAAGAATTAAAAGGCATCCAAATCAGCAAAGAAGTCAAACTTTCACTCTTCACAGACAACATGTAGAAAATCCGAAAGACTCCACCAAAAAATTGCTAGAACCAATAAGGTAATTCAGCAAAATCGAAGGATATAAAAATCAATGTACAGAAGCTCATTGCATTTCTATACAGTAAGAATGAAGTAGCAGAAAGAGAAATCAAGGAATTGATCCTATTTACAATTGTACCCAAAACCATAAGATACCTAGGAATAAAACCAACCAAAGAGGCAAAGAATGTGTACTCAGAAAACTACAGAATACTCATGAAAGAAATTGAGGAAGACATAAAGAAATGGAAAAATATTCCATGCTCATGGACTAGAAGAACAAATACTGTTAAAATGTCTATGCTACCCAAAGCACTCTACACTTTCAATGCAATCTCTATCAAAATACCAACAGCATTTTTTCAAAGAGCTAGAACAAACAATTCATTTTATTTATTTATTTATTTATTGTATGGAACCAGAAAAGACCCTGAATAACCGAAGTAATGCTGAAAAAGAAAACAAAAGGGGTGACTCAGTTAAACGTCTGCCTTCAGCTCAGGTCATGATGTCAGTATCCTGGGATCAAGCCCCTCTTGGGGCTCCCTGCTCAGATGGGAGTCTGCTTCTCCCTCTCCCTCTGCCCCTCCCCACCCACCCCTGTTCATGCACTCATGCCCCCCCCCAATAAATAAACAAAATCTTTAAAAAAGAAAACCAAGTCTGGAGGGATCATAATTTCAGACTTCGAGCTGTATTACAAAGCATTATAATCATCAGGACAGAATGGTACTGGCACAAGACAGACACACAGAACAATGGAACAGAATAAAGAACCCAGAGAACCCCTCAACTCTATGGTCAACTAATATTCAACCAAGCAGGCACTAATATCCAGTGGAAAAAAGACAGTTTCTTCAACAAATAGTATTGGGAAAATTGGACAGCCACATGCAGGAGAATGAAACTGGACAGCTTTCTTATACCATACACAAAGATAAACTCAAAATGGATGAAAAACCTAAATGTGAGGCTGGTATCCATCAAAATCCTTGAAGAGAACACAGGCAGCAATCTCTTTGACCTCAACCACAGCAACTTCTTGCTTAGACATATCTCCAGAGGCAAAGGAAGCAAAAGCAACATGAACTATTAGTACTTCATCAGGATAAAAAGCATTTGCACAGCAAAGGAAACAATCAACAAAACTAAAAGGCAACCTATGGGATGGAAGAAGATATCTATAAATGATATATATCAGATAAAGGGTTAGTACCTAAAATCTATAAGGAACTTTTCAAACTCAACACCCAAAAAACAAAGAATCCCATCAACAAATGGGCAGAAGACATGAACAGACATTTCTCCAAAAAAGACATCTAAATGGCTAACAGACACATGAAAAAATGCTCAATATCACTTGGCATCAGGGAAATACAAATCAAAACCACAAAGAGATACCACCTTATACCAGTTAGAATAGCCTAAATTAACAACTAAGGAAACAACAGATGCTGGCAAGGATGCAGGAAAAAGGGGAACCCTCTTACACTGTTGGTGGGAATGCAAACTGGTGCAGCCACTCTGGAAAACAATATGGAGGTTCCTCAAAAAGTTAAAAGTAGAACTATCCTACAACCCAGCAATTGCACTACTAGGGATTTATCCAAAGGATACAAACATAGTGATTCAAACAGGTACATGCACCCCAATATTTACAGCAGCAATGTCCACAATAACCAACTATGGAAAAAGCCCAGATGTCCATCGACAGATTAATGGATAACAAAATTATAATGAAAGTTAAAAATGGCTCTCTTAACTAAAGCTAAATTCAGAATGTTCTGGTTTTAGCACTGGAAAACAATCTCCAGGTAACTGAAGGAGGAAAACCATATCCATTAAGAGATTCTCTCAGTTTGATCATCACTGGCACCCCCCCATGCCAGCTTCTAGGCCTAAACTGTAACACTTTTGTGAAGGTATAGACAAAACAAAAACATCTTGTTCTTTTCACTGTAGTACAAATGATACAGAAGAAATACCGAAAGAATTTATGAAATGGTAAGAGAGAATAACTGGGAAACAGGGAATGTGAGAAATATATAGAGTCTGGTTTCCAAAGAATTAGTTTATTTTTTATAAATAATTGTTAGCCTAGAGTCCATGGAACTTAATACTGGGCTCCAAGCATCTGTTAACCTATGAAATAATATGTAAGACATTGTGTACATTTGTATAGTCTATATATAAAGGATGGAAGAGGACCTTTACAAATAGATAGAAAAGAAATTCTTGCTGTTGTCTATGTAAGCCAAAAGCAGAGGGGCAGTTTGGCAGAAACAATACTATAAGGGATATAAACAATTTGGTCCAAGTATACAAGCTCTCAGGTTTGCATTGGAAGAGTTGTGTTATATTATTCAAAAGTAAATTTTTGAATTTCTGGAATAAGAGTTCTTTCCCCAGTATTCCAGACACAGTATTAAAGAGATTCTGAGAATCTCATTGACATCACACTGAAAATTCTGTGCACATGTAAATGTGTACATTTCCTGAAAAGTCAATGAAATGTTCATAAGCCCTTCAATGGCACTTTCTCATTCCATTTCTGTACTGGGTCTCCCATTCTGAAGATAGAAATTCCAGGTTCTGAGACCTTAGTCAGCAGGTGGTGAGGGACCCCTCTCCAACATTCTGCATCTTTGATGTGCCCTAAGGGAAGTAAGCAGCCACCTAAGTATGCACACCATTCCTCACAATTGTTATTACTGTATTTTAGAAGATTAACAGATGGGAAAGAAATGATAAGTAAGTAGACAGAGACTATCATAAGGGCCACGGTGAAAAGTAACAGAATTTAAAAGATGATGGTATGAGTGGGGATACAAAACTAAGAATGGGAAGGAGGGACAACTTGGTATTTGGTACTGTTGAAAAAGAAACAACCCAAAATAGAGTCACTTGGGCTAAGCCCTATATCAGTAAACCAAGACTTAATATCTACCTAACCTAACTGCAGTTTCAACCTCTCCTAAGAATATAATCTTAACCAGTCAGTCTGAAATTTCCCAGTCAGCACTAGTGAGGTAATCCACCCTGCCTTCCCCCAAAGGATGTGACCTTGCCTGAAATAATCTTTTCTTTTGATGATTTCCCTGTTCTACCCCTTTCTGCCTTTAAAAATCTTTTCTTTCCAGCAACTCTTGGAGTTCCCTTCTATTTGCTAGTTGGGATGCTGCCTGATTCATGGCTTATTGAATAAAGCCAATTAGATCTTCAAATTTGCTCAGTTGTATTTTGTTTT